ATCTTCCTTCCGGCTGTTCCCCTGTGGAAGCAAGCGTTCATCACACACTATTGCCCAAATATTTGTTACAAGTCGGCCTCAGCATCCAGACTGAGAGCTTCTAGAAGGTACGGACTAATTTTGCTCAAGCTTGTTTCTTAAGCGTTTAACCTAAAGGTTGACACATTAGGCACTAAATTAACTTTTATTAAATAGATAGATTAAAAATGTAATTACCTGTGGTAATAAGGTAAATTTCAATGATCTTTGGGCTGTAAAGAATATACATATTACAAGGAGGCGGCTTAGGCCAAATTACAACACTTTAAGGGAACAGGAAATTCAAATGTGTGATTATATAAACCACTTTAAACACCAGAGAATGTGAGGAGGATAGGGAAAATTATAGAAGAGCAAATATTATTCCAGGTTATAAAAAGAATTTAAAGAGGAAACAATCATTACCAAAAGCTAGCATTTTGTCCCCAAAACAATTATTTTAAAATCACTTTTCTATTTTTACTTTCTTTGTTACTAGTCTGGGAACTCAGGGAAATGAGGCAGCTTTAAATAAAATTTTGTCAAGATATTTGACTCATCATACTTTTCAAGCAAGAAATAAAAATAATGTAATAGGAGTTAATTCAAGGACTATTACATTAGAGAAGCCCCGGGTTCATACCATAAGTTGAACCCCAAGTGAAAATCAATATCCGGGTCCTACAAGGAAGGGCAGGAGGAAGAGAGAGATTCCCTCTGTGACCTGCACTGAGATCGCTAAAGGCCAAAGGCAGTGCTGGAATGTGGAGAAAAGATTTCAGGATCAATCTCTGCCTACAGCACAGATTTAAAAAGCAGCTCAACAATATAGGCTGTTGACGGCTACATTACATAGAGGTAACCAGAGTCAAGACAAAAAAAAAAAAAAAAAAATCAGCTGAAATGTTTACCAGATTAATTAAACCCTTATTAATGGCCTGATAGGAGATGTACCCATTTCCTTGTGTAAGTAATATTTACCCCATCACCTTTGTTCTTCTCCATACCATCACTAACATTTAATCAAAAATTATGAAATAAATAAGCAAGAAAAGTAATCCACTATTGAGATAAACATAACCAGACTCAGAGATGACTAGAACCATCAAAGAAATTAAAATAACTTTAATTAATATTTTAAAGGATCTAGAGAAAGTGTCAGTGAATCATGGCCTACAGGCCAAATTCAGCTCACCTCTTTATAACTGAAGTTTAGTTGAACAGGCCACATCCATTCATTCATGATCATGGCTATATTTGTACTATAAACCCAGAGAGAGATCATAGCACCCGTGAAGCCTCCAGTATTTACTATTTTTGGTCTTTGAAAAATAAAGTTTGCTGGGATCTCTGGCTCAGTGGTACAGCGCTTGCCTACCATGTGTGAGACACTCGGTTCGATCCTCGGCACCACAGAAAAATAAGTAAGTAAGTAAGTAAATAAGTAAATAAAATAAAAGTTTAAAAAAAAAGATGCTGGGTTTTTTTAAAAAAAAATAAGAAAAAGAAAGTTTGCTGACCTTTTGCCTAATGGAAATGTTTGGCAGTGTGCATAAATAACTATGGAATTTCCAGAGATGGAAACTATAATAGAGTCAAATGAAAATGCTACAAATAAAAATTATGATAGCTAAATTCCTTCAATGGGTTCACAATAGCATTGGAATAAACCAATGAGCCAGAAAACATGCTGATGTCAATAGACATTACTCAAACTGAAAAATAAAAATAAAAAGGAAGAGTAAAAAAAAAAAATCTAATATGACTGGGACAATATCCAATGGGCAAAGAGATATAACTGCAGAAAAATACCTAATGCAGCAGAGAGAATATTTGAATTTGTAATAAAAAGGAATATAGCAAATAGCAAATACTGTCACTTAGACCCTATAATTAATCAAATAACCATACCACTGAACCCGGAGGGGCTAATGAATAGAAAGACATAACTTGGACAGAAGTCTTCAGCAACAGGGTTCTGACTTTCATCCTGTCCTTATACATTTTGACTATACATTCTGATGATTTGTATGAAAATTGTTCACTCATCAATTTTTTGGAAGGGGTACAGGGATTGAACTCAGGGGCACTCAGCCAGAGCCACATCCCCAGTCCTATTTTGTATTTTATTTAGAGATAAGGTCTTACTGAGTTGCTTAGCACCTCACCTTTGCTGAGGCTGGCTTTGAACTCGGGAACCTCCTGTCTCAGCCTCCCAAGCCACTGGGATTATAGGTGTGCACATTGCTCCTGGCTACTACTCAATTTTTAAAGACATTAAAAAGCAAAAAAAAAAAAAATTCAGTAAGAAAGACTCAGAATCAGGGGTATCTAAATATGTTCACAAAGAATGTGTGAAGCATGGTTTAATTATATTGTATATCTCCTATATAGCAGATTTTCATGAAAATGAACTAATACAAAGCAGTATTTCTCTTGCTATGACTCACAAACGACATGCACCCAAGAGATATTGGCAGAGGCACAGAATTCAAAGTAATCAATGTAAGAGTTTCTTCCTTACCTGTTATAATCAGTGGGCCATTTGATAACTGTATTAATAACAGACAAACACACGTTATTTTGTTCAAATTTAGCAGGCAAGAATGAGTGAGAGGGTATGAAATCCATGTCAATAGAGGAAGAGATGTTTAACTTGGAGAAAAAAATTAGTACAGCTATTAAACAATCCTCCTTCATAGAAATAGAATTGTTTGTTTTGTATGGCTTCACAAGATAGATAGAATTGAAATGAATAGAAATTCCAAGTCAAATTCTAGTTCAACATATTCAGAAAGTTTCTAACAACAGAGCTATGCAAAATTGGAATTTTGCAGAGCTGCATTTTGAATAGGCTACAATACAAAGGAATGAACTTGCCATCACTGCAGGGGGTCTACATTAAAACTAATGCTGGGGAGAAGGAACAAGTGCACAATAAGGGGTTGCACCCAAGGCCCCCTCATCTGGATTGTCTATGTTTCTGAATTACAAAGTGTAATTATGGAGAGAGAAGAAGGAAAGGGAATGGTGATGGTACCAATCACGAAGCTGGAATTGAACTTAGGGAGAAACATCTCACTTTTCATTTTGTTGAGTTCAAGTGCTGTCAGAAAGGTTAGCGTAGCAATTAGTTATATCGTCTGGAGTTCAAAGGGAAGGTCTGAAGCTAGATGTAAGTTTGGGTGTATTTGTTTCATGGATCAATACTGTCCAATAGAAATATGTACAATTAGTTTTTAATCATATTTTACTTATCCCAATGTACTTAAAATATTATCATTTAACATATAATGAATATAAAATTATTGATATAATATCCTTTTGTTGTTGTTTGTATTAAGTATCCGAAATCTGTCTTGTACTTTACACTGAGAGCACATCTTAACTCAGATATCCACATTCCAAGTGCCGAAGTCACACTGCAGTACTGGTCACCATAATAGACAGCATGGGCAGAGATGATGATTGAATTATTTAAATGAGATAAATTTTACAAAGGTTTAGGATTAAGCATTGAGAAATCCAACAAAAGAAATTAAGTTATAGCCAACACAGGACAAAATAAGGAAAGTATATTGACATAAAAGTGAAGACAAGAGTAAAGATTTGTGTGTTCCCTCATCTTAAACTCTACTGAAAGTTTGAGACCAAAAAAAAAAAAAAATCTGTTGGCGCTGGTGATATAGAAAAACTGGGAGCCATTAGCAGGACAAATGCCAGACAAGTGTGGATTAAAAAGTGACTGTTCCAACTCCACTCTTCTCAGTGTGAGGAGTAATGTGCTGGTACATCCCTGCCCAGTAGGCCATGGGCTTTGGATCTGTATTGGACACTCCATTAAAGGCAGAGGGACAATGGCAGGGTGCAGGGCACCATCTCAGGAGGCGCCCATGGAAGGCACAGAAACAAAACAGCTGCTCTGCCTCCCTTCCACACACATCCCATTCTTCTGTAGTGGCTTCTTTCAGAAGATGTAAGCTTTTTTCCTTTTCTTCAGTCACAATCTGGGATTAAAAACTGTTCAAAGCATAAAATTAGTTGTTTCATCCTTTAAAAAAAAAAAAAGATTCCCTGGACATATTTGGGCAGGGATAGGATGCATAGGGCTGTTAATGGGACTCTTTAGAATTATCGGGGAAGCACAGGTGAATGGAGGAGCTTGTGGTAGACACAGGGAAGAAAGCCTGTGTATATACAACCAGATTTCAGCTCCATTCAGAAAGATTTTCTTTTGATTAAAATGAATGCTAAACCCCACCTCTCAGGCATAATTATTTAAATGATGCATGCATGTTTTATCAATCATCGTGAGGGCTTGGCTACATTATCCAGTTCCCTCACTTAGGGACTCACTCCAAAAGGCTTTCTCACTGCTTCCAGAAGACACTGGCTTCATCAGCTGGAGGCCCCACCACGGTGACCACCACCACCATTAGTGATAAGAACATCCCCTGGAAAGGAAATGATGTAGAAGAAAGGGATGTTTTCAAAGATAGCATGTTTGGGGCCCAGATGCAGTCTTGGTCCTGAAGACTCAGACTCGGTCCAAACCTAATATTCACACCAATGGGGTTCAGTGACTGACACACAAAGATTCTATTGTATGGGCTGTTTGCCTTCAGTTAGACACATGGCGAGTCTGCACTCATTCACATCGGGATTCAAAGGAAAAAAAAAAAAAAAGAGTTTTGAGTTCCAGCTCTGTGTTATATTGTACAAAACCAGACCCCTTTCTGGGCCTCAGTCATCTCGTCCTTTCTACTTCCACATGACCTGGTCCTATCTCCACTAGCTCAATGTTCTCAGGTTTCCTTGCTACCCCACGGTTCCCTAGGATTTCTGTTCTCTTGAAAGCTATTTTCTCCTGCCAGCTCACTCAGAGAATTCATGATGACTCTGGTTGCCATAGGAATGATTCATCTATCATAAAGGTGGCTGCATGAGATCACAAATACTCCAAGGAGAGCCAGGAGGGGGGAAGTGATATTCAAAACAAGAGATAGATCTGCACTGAAAGTGGATGACAGCTTAATGAGAGGGGGAGATGAAGCTCATGCGCTTTCTATAACTCTCCTGTGCGTGCGCCCTTCTCTGAGAGACGTCAGTGAAGATCCGCTGTCAAATGCATCTCCCATGATCCTCTCTGGCCCACTCAAGATATTTCCTCCACAAAAATAGAATGTAATATGCAGGTTGCAGGAAGCAGCCCCTTCCTCAATGACCAAAAATGGAAGGCCAGGACAGCCTGGGGTGATCCTGGATACCGGGGATCTACTACTGGCTGCATGTATGTGGTAATTCACTCATCCTTTGTAAGACAGGGCTGGAGACAATTTTGAAGATTTGGTTCTCTATCTGGATTGTTTGATATTGGAACCCACCATTTGTATTCTTGAGGTGGCACATTTTTATTCTAATGTAATCCAAATGCTAATACTTAAAGGGTCATGGTCATTTTGTTCTTTTCTTTCCTTATTGGGACTTAAAAAAAAAAAAAAAAAAACAGCCTAACCCTGAAATTCAATCCCCAGATTGAGTACTGAAGTTCATTTCTCAGCTCAACATCCTAAAATATGGTCATAAACTGAGATCCCTCTTCTAACCATAGATAGTTACTCTGCCAACCCTAACCATGGGCAACACCATAATTCAAGCCACTGACAGCCTTGTTAGTGTGTGGCCTGAGGTTGGCCTCTGTTAACCAGTCAGGTATCTCAAATGATGCCGAAGTAAAGAGATGTGAGGAGAGGTGGGCCACCACCGCCACAAGGGAGCCACAAAGTCAATGCAATCCTCTTTGTAGGGATGGGTCAAAGATGTTTCATATCATGAAATATGATACATTCATTTCACAGTTTCCTAGCAACAGGATGCCAATCAGCCAGCTGTAATTCAAGGATTCATTTTCTTTGTTATGAAGGAGCTGGAAGCAGGAAGAGTGGGAAGACTTCCCAGGGTGAGTAGAACTGACAGAGTGTGGTCCAAGGATGAGGAGACCAAGTCTGCAGAAGGAGGCACCTCTGGGGTGCCTTTCTTCCTCCAGTCTCTCTGAAACAGAGGTCCATCCTACCACCATCCTGCTGCTGCCGCTGGCTTCTGGCTTCTGTGTTAATTACAAGTGTCGGTACGTCCAGTGTCAAATCACATGGCACGTTTTTGAATCACACACAGTGCTTGCTCCATGCCCAAAACATTGGTGGTAGAACACAAATCAGGACAGGAACAATAAACCTTCCAGACTACTTACTCCCCTTAGTATATTGGCTGAGCTTTGAAAATGTTGCCATGGCTAAGTCAGATGGTTAGGTACCCAAGACATTATCCTGTGGCTTGTTCCTACTCGTTTTAGCACCTGCAAATTTATTACATAAGATATTATTTTGTACTCAATCTAATTAGTTAGAACTATTTGTAGTCATTTGAAATACACTCCATGTTGATTAAAATAATTAGTGTAGGGCTACTAAATATTTACCTAAGATATGAATCCAGGGGGAATTTGATAAATTTAATTAGCAAGAACTAATTATTGTTATGATAGGAGTTAGGGTTTAATAAATATAATTACAGAGCACAAATGACGGTTTCTTAATTAATAGATACTAGTTGCAAACACAAGAGCCATTATCATATTTTCATGCAGGACATGCTATTCAGCACACCTTCCAGATGTCAACGGTAGCAGCAATGGCGACTCACAATAAAAGGAGTTAATGCTCTTGTAGCGCTTATGCTGTCAGGCACGGCTCCAAGGCAGACAGCATATTAACTCATTTAATCCTTACTGTGGTCCATAATTTACATACATAGGAACTGAAGCACGGAAATATCAAGGAACTGGTGCAAGATTACACAACTAGGAAGAAACAGGGCTTTGATCCCATGCAGTTTGGCCCAACACTCCATGAACCATTTCCTTCAGTGCCTAAAGCAAGGATGATAAGAACAACAAAAGTTTGAGAATATGAATGTGCAAAAGACCAACAACCAGAATCCTCTGTTCCACATTTGTTATTTTATATAATCAACTGTTAGTATTTGCACATATGATTTGCATAATTCTGGACATTCTAAAGATGATCCAAAAAAATTGAATTGTTGACATCCCCAGAGGTGAAACTATTAGATTCAACCAAAGCTTGTTTTTTTCTAGGAAGAAGAGCTGACTGCCTTTTGTCATGAGCAACTTTCCCCAAATCCCAGCTCACTCTCATCCTGGCTCACTGTCCTCCCATCAAGAATTCTTAGTCTTTCACTTGTGCCTTTGGGACACAGGGGAGTGCTGGAGTTTCATTTATGGGAAAAAATGGACAATTATCATCAATAATGGGAAGAAACTGCAGCAAGGGTAGGTTGCAAAAACGCAGATTGTCTCAGGCCCAGGGCTTTCTATTCAAAATGGATTCTGAAAGGCCTGGATTGGTGCCAGAGAGCAGAGCAAGCCTAGAGACCACCTCCCTCAGGCTCAACCCTATTTACAAGAAATGGCATTTCTCTCCCCGGTAGATCCTGAGACACAGTTTAATCTAAGGGGAGCAACATGGGAGGGAAAAAAGAAAATGAGAAAAACCAATAAATAGTAAAAACAGGAAGCAGGAAAAAACAGGCCTGGATGTACAATTCTTTTTTGTGCCTGTTAAATGAACTCTGGTGGGGATGAGGAGAGAGAATTATCCTATTTATATATTGAAAGGAATTTTAAATATGCATAGGCAGGGAGAGAGGATCCGCAGAGATTGAAATGCAAAACACAGCATGGCCTGTGCATCTCCACGTCTATCTCTCAGCGCCATTAGCAAGTTCCTTGCACCAATTTCTGGAAAGCTCCTTCTAAAACTCAGAGCCATCCTTCTACTTACTCAGCAATTCTGTTTTAGAAAAGCAATTCTATTTTTAAAAAGGAACGACCCTTCACTTGCAAAACACCTTGCAAATGTATTCACCCAGGCACGCAGCTCACACATCCAACCAACCCATTCACACATGGACACAAACAAAACTCCACCACCTCTGGGGGTACCACAACCCCTTGGCACTGAGATTCCAGACAGTATAGTTTCCATAACACACACATGAAAGAATATCTCCTGCCTCCATGCAGGGAGACAGGAGCAGGGATTAGGTGGCATGGAAAACTAGTCATCATTCAACTGACACAAACACTTTGACAACAAGAAAACAGAAAACTTTCTTCATGAATATACTTCATCTACACTTAAAAAGCAATGCTCTGTCCCATGTAAATCTTTACTTCCCTACCAACCACCCCCCCTCATCATCTCCACCAAGCACACAGCACCCCTTCCAAAATAGCAGGAGCTACTGACCTCACCGTAGGGTAAATTGATGCTCAAGCATCTGCTGCTGTTTTCCCTGACTCTGGACCAATGCACTCTACATCCCAAACCAAAGTCCTCAAATGAAGAGAAACTGCTCAATTGAAATAAGACCTTTGTAAGTATCTTACACTCCCCCACCCCCTTCCATCTCTTCTTTCTTCCCACAAGTACACTCAAGGTCCCAAAACTTTCTTAAGGAGGTCTGTTGTTCCAGATGATCTGCTCACTGACATGGATGTTACTTTAGGAAATACGTCATTCCCTGATAACTTATAAGGGAAGCTATTATAAAAATTATGAAGTTTGCTATAAGCCAAAAGTCAGATTTTTGTAATAATTTTCATTTAAGAATGAAAATAAATGAAAGAGAATGAGGATAAATTGTGACAGTCCATGCAATATCCCGGTTTTAGCACACTGTGTGTCACATGTTAATTCTTCAAATAGGAAGAAATCTTGGATGATCTAGTGATGTGCTTTGCCCTTCTATTCAAGACCAAAGAGAAGCCCTTTCCTAAGAAAGCTCAATCACATCCTGCAGGTTCCATGGCTACCAACTATTCATTAAGTTTAGCACCACTTCTAGACATCTGTCTCTGTTGCTCTCCATTTGATGTTTGAATGACTACGATCTGGAGGAATGGGGAGGGTTGGAAAGATGACTAATTCCATAATGGACATGTGGGATTTGTGGTTTCTATAAAAAATCCAAGGGGATTAAGGTAATTACGGCTATGATGATTCATATTATCCCAGGATCACACATTTGGGTCTACAGAAAACTATCTACATAAAGCCCTGATTAATCTCTTTTTTTTCCAAATGTGGTCTCTCCGGAGCCTCTATGGGCCTGATGGTGGGGCCCAGGAGGCTGAATTAGGACCTCCTAGAAACCTCCAGATTGTGGACTATGCTGAAAGCTCTGACATGGAGGAGCTCCCAAGGCAGACCCCAGGCAGAGGGGAGATGCAAAATTTGGAAGCAAGAGATTAATTTAGGGCTCCAAATGGAGAGTTGGCTATAGACCCAAATTCATGACACCAGGACAACACAAAACCTCATGGCTGTAATCACCTTAACGCAATGTGTCTCACTGAGAACCCAGGAAGTGCTTCCATTTATATTAACTTTCAGGCCATCAAAGACTAGAAGGGGGAAAAAAAGGTGCAAATGATATTAATGTATGAAAAACACTTTTAAAAACACAGAGTCTTTGGGAACAACCAAGAAAAAGTTGAATCAGTTTACCTATATTCCAGCCTGAGCACAGGCTGGTGAAGATGTTGACCAAAAATGCCCTCCTCCCCAGCTGTGAAGAGGCACAACCCGGCAGCACCTGAATGACCTGCTGGCTTTCAGCAGGGCACCTTCTCAGAGACAGCTCTCCCTTCAGGGCCCTAGGATACCTGTGCTTCCTTAGTGTTGTAGGTGAGAGGCTAAGGGAGCCCAGAGCTGAGGTCTCCATTTAGGCCTGATTATTATTAACCGACAGGGACCAGGGGGTGGAACAAAGGGGGCTACAGCTGCAACCTCTTTAGATGGTTTTGTTTTTTGTTTTGTGTCTGCTTTTGTTCATTTTCCTTACAGTCTCCCATGAAATGATTTAGGCCAGGCCATGATGCGAGGGAATCTCTTCTCCAGTGATGGAAGTTTGGTTAAAAATAAATAAATCCACAGCCTTATTAGATTGAGGGAGACTTTGCGTATATTAAACCCCATTCCCAACCATTTCAAGGACATTGGTAGAGCCTCCGAGACACCCACTTCTGACCTGTTTTTTTTTTTCAATTATTTATTTAATTTGTTAGACATGATGGCAGAATGCAATTCATTTCAAGTCACTGATTGTACACGAATTATTCTCATCCCATTCGTGTCTTCCTACATGAACTTATAGTAATGATGTCTAACTCATTCCACTATCATTCTTACCCCCTTTCCCCCTCTTTTTCTCTCCCTCCCCTTTGCCATATCTAAAGTTCCTCCATCCCTCCCATTATGAGTCAGCACCCTCATGTCAAAGAAAACATTTGGCCTTTGTTTTTTGTGATTGGCTTGATTCACTTAGCATTATATTTTCCAACTCCATCCATTTACCTGTAAATGCCATGGTTTTATTCTCTTTTAATGCTGAGTAGTGTTCCATTGTGTATATATACCAAAGTTTCCCTATCCATTCATCCACTGAAGGGTATCTATCTGGGTTGGTTCCACAGTTTAGCCATTTCAGGACCCACTTAACCCTTTCCCTGCAGTTGGCCTGCCCATGGCTCTCCATGCTTCCCACCTTCCATGAGACAGATGAGGAACTACCTCTCTCATGGGGGTTGACAGTAGACTGACACCACCCATACATGAATGCCATGCTTCCCAACAAGCCCTCCTTGACCCTTCCTCCACCTCACATCCAGGAACCATATACTGGGGGACACCATTCTTGCCACACCACATGGAGCACCTTGCCCTACCTCAGAGCCCCATCAATTCTTATCAGAATTTGTAATTTAATCTTTAGTCCATTCCCCCTCCGATCTCTTTCATAGAGCCATCTTTCTATAAGATCTTTATTATTTCACCATTGGAAGCCCTTCTGCCTCATCATTGGCTTCCTATGCTACAGGACCAGTTCCACACTTCTGTCCATGGCTTACAGGGCCTTCCATGATTGGTCCCCTCTCCTTCAACAGACACAGCCCCAACACAAAACAAATGTTTGTGTCTCCCAAAATACATGCTGCAATACCAACCTCCAATGTGATGGTATTAGTAGGTAGGCCTTTGGGAGGGAATGGTGTCCAAGATGGTGCCTCACAGGTAGGATTCATACCCTTTTGATGGAGAACCCTGCACTTTTTAGCCCCCTTCTCACCATTTGAGGACACAGGAATAAGGCAACAGACCACAATCCAGCAGAAGGCTTTCATCAGAACCCAGTCATGCTGGCACCAGCTCTGAGACTATGAGAAATATAATTCTATTATTTACAAGCCTCCCTGTCCTGAGCATGTTGTTATAGCGGCCTGACCTAAGACAGTACTGGAAGTTTAGGAGATGACATCATTGAAGCTAGTGTCATAGGAAAAACATTCATTAATGAGGACTATTTCAGAGAAAAAGCAAGAGGACCTTGAGTCTCATAGAGGTGCGTAAACAAGAGAGTCGTAAGTCTTATGGAAGTCATGAGCAAGAACGGAGATGGGTCTATCTAAGGCTTTGCACGAGCAGGTGATCCTTGAGGTTGGCCTTTCGTGGAACACAGAAGGGTCAGAGACTTCTGAATAGCCACTCTTTGGGGAGAATGGAACCCTCTGAAGACCTGCATCAATCACCAATTCACTTTCCCACTTTCCACTGTACTCTGGCCACAGCATACTCCCTGAGCTTCATTTCATGTTCCTAGGACAGAGTTCAACCTGCTCTCTAGGAATGTGAAAGCTTTCTCTACCTTAATGTCTGGCCAAACTTTCCAGATTCAGCTTAAAGCTCAATCACCTTCTCCATAAACCTGAACCATGACCTGCTTAGTCTAATCGATAAAAAGATTAAACAGGATGATGGGAGTCAAGTCCTTTGCATGGCCATCTGGTACCTGGAGAGGAACACAAACTTACAACTGTCTTTCCTGGCTGATCCTTGCAGGCAGAGCTGCTTCCATGCAAGGCGCTGAAGGCATCTATCTTCCCACCTGAGACGCCAAGACTCGGTTGCTGCCATTTGTATCTCCTCCCATGCTGTTTATTCATTCTTTTAACAAACATTCATTACTCCTCACTGGGGCTGCAGCAGTGAACAAGACAGTCCCGCTGCCAGCCCTTATGGAGATCACAGCCCAATGGGGCTGTGGATGAGTAAATACACAATTGCAATGCAGAGCAAGTCATGCAGTGATGGGGGAGAGTGTGTTGGGAGCAAGGAAGCAGACATCTGACCCAGAATGGATAGGGGTGTAGCCATCGTCTGGGAAGAAGCAATGTCTAAACTTAGATGAGGGGAGGACAATTTGGATATTTCAAACAAATAATGTAGAAAAGATCTAGAAATTGAAAGGAAAGGAAAGAAGTGGAGAAAATGCCTCACTTGGGGCAAAAGAATTTTTCTCTGCATTATTAGTTTACACACACACACACACACACACACACACACTCATACACACTGCACATTCACTTTTGGCTTATCTTTGTTCCACCTATAAGCATCAAGGTGTGAAGAATGAACCTTTTATCCTCCATTTTGAATGAATCATCTGAGTTGGAGTTTTTTGTTTCAGTGCTGATAGGAATCTA